ATAATCCCAGCACTTTGGGAGGCCGAGGCGGGTGGATCACGAGGTCAAGAGATCGAGACCATCCTGGTCAACATGGTGAAACCCCGTCTCTACTAAAAATACAAAAATTAGCTGGGCATGGTGGTGAGTGCCTGTAATCCCAGCTACTCAGGAGGCTGAGGCGGGAGAATTGCTTGAACCCAGGAGGTGGAGGTTGCGGTGAGCCGAGATCGTGCCATTGCACTCCAGCCTGGGTAACAAGAGCGAAACTCCGTCTCAAAAATAAATAAATAAATAAATAAATAAATAAAATAAAAAAATAATAACGGAAATTTTGTTTGTAGATTTCCTGGGCTGCCCAGAACTGGTCCTTCCCTCTCTTTGGCTCCTGCGGCACCTCAGTCGAAGATGTATGTGGCCAATGGTAGCCACAGAGCTGCTTTGCTCAGAGGTAGCTGTTCTCAGCCCAGGGACTCTGGCCTTTCCTGGACCCTGACTATTGCTGGGCCCTGGGACTGCCCCTACTTTTCCCTAAGTTCATGACCTCTTCCACTTAACTGCTGCAGTACCTTTCTTTGACCTATGACCTTTGAGCTGGTTACCCCCTGCAGTGGCTCCCTCTTTCCTTTTCCTCCTGTCAGTCCTCCTGCTGGTCTTACTGGTAGCCCAAAACCTGGCAAGAAGTCAGCTGACCCCTCCTTCTGTCCAGGTAAGTAGCATGTGAAGGAGGGGACAGCCTTCCTTTTCTTTTTTTGAGACAGAGTCTTGCTCCCGTCACCAGGCACCAGGCTGGAGTGCAGTGGCATGATCTTGGCTCACTGCAACCTCTGCATCCCAGGTTCAAGCAATTCTCCTGCCTCAGCCTCCCGAGTAGCTGGGACTACAGGTGTGCGCCACCACACCCAGCTAATTTTTGTATTTTTAGTAGAGACGGGGTTTCACTATATTGACCAGGATGGTCTCGATCTCTTGACCTCGTGATCCGCCCACCTCGGCCTCCCAAAGTGCTGGGATTGCCACTGCTCCCGGCTGCGGACAGCCTTCCTAATGCCTTCAGCCCTGGGCATGGGACTACAGTGCTCCAACCTGTCTGCAGATATGCCACAACTTCCACTGCCTTGGAGACATGTGCTACCAGGAGGCAAAGTTCTCCAACCAGACAGCAGAGTGCAAGCCCGGGCAGCACCACTGCGAGGTGTGGGGCTGGGGCTATGATGGACCCCAGACAGGGCACTTCTCAGAGGTGAAAGGGAGTGGAGGGAGTGGAAGGAAGACTGACATTCAGGTACGGTCAAGTGCGGGAATGGATCCTGAAGCGGGAGGGAGGGGAGTCAGTATTTGGGACGCTGGGAACATGGAGATATTGACCAGGTCTGGCTGTCCCCCCATCCTCCTGGACATGCCTTCATTCTCTCTACCCAGCTGATTCAACTCAACACTTCCCACTACGTGGCCCAGTGCAGCTTCAGCTGTGAAGGGGGAAATGAATACAGCCCTAGCCCTTGCCGGCTGTCCAACGGCTCAGCCCCCAGCCCAGGCCCCTGCAGGCTGCAGTGCTGCAGTGGAGGGCCACTCTGCCTCATGCTCAATGAGTCAGCCTCGGGTAAGACAGCCCCACCTTATTGCTCAGCCCTGCCCCACCAATCTGCAGCTCTGAGCCCCATTACCCCCACCTCTAACTCTCATTCCTACTCATCCACAGGCTCACCCTCCTGCCCACTAATCCCTAACTCTGAACCCAGCCCTTTGAGAGGCCCTCAAATCTCAATTCAATTTTCACCAGCCCCCCAACCTCTATAAATATGCTAACCTCTAGGCCTTGCCTGACTGACCCCTACCTTTAATGCCTTCCCTCCTCATCAGCTCCCCAAGTCTGAGCTTTCTACCTCTGGTGCCCCACCCCCACCCCCCACCCCCCATTCCCAACTCCTAATATCCCCACCTCTCCTTAGTCCAGCCCATCCAGCACTCCCCTACCCAACAAGCTCCAAAGAGGCCTGGGGCAAGCACCTGCACTCATCCAAGGTGGCAGCATGGGAGGCCATCAGGTTGTGAGCTGCCCACACACATGATGCTCTCCCTGGGGACAAGGCAGGGGGCCAGGGCTTTGCAGAGGTGTCACAGCACTTCCCCAGGCAGTCTTGCTCTGCTCCTAGGCCTAGCCCACCTGATGATCCCAGAGGTCAAGCTGCATTCCACTCCACCCCTGGTGACCACCACCTTGCCAGCCCTCCAGGGAAATGTGAGTGTCTCATTCTCCCCTGCCTGCTCTGGGAAGTGGAGGCAGGAACAGACAGCGTGTGGTGAATGGGGCCAGTGACACCGGCACGATAGGGCTCCGGCCTTGCCTCTGTCCCACATTTACCACCCATTTAGTCTGCACAAAGCTCCCAAACCTCCTCCTGCTTTCTCTTCCATGAGAAAATCTGTGCCACTTTCTCCTGCCATGGTGGTGAATGTTTCAAAGGGCAGAAAGCTGTGGCCATGTGCTCTGAGGGCTTGGACTTCTGTGAGGTGAGCTTCAAGGATTAGGGAGCTGTCCTCCCTCAGAGCTGCACGGCTTTCTCCGTCTACCTGGAATGGGTAGCTCGGCAGTAGGATATGGCTGGAGCAAGACCTGCTGGAAGCCAGGCTGCCTGAGATCTAGCAAGCTTGACACCCTCAGCTCTGCATGATGCCAACACCAAGGGCAGCAGCTGGAATTTTCCATACCTCCATGATGTGCCCCTTTGTTTCTGGCCACGCTGTATGTTCACTAGGGCAGGAAGTTAGGAATCCAAGGAGGTTGAGTTCAACCCATGGCCCACTTAACACTTTCTGCCTTTGGGTGGGGAAAAGGGGGGCAAAGGGAAGATGAATGGTCCCACCTCTTCCTACAGCTGAACCGCTCCAGCTCAGGTTACACTGCAGGCTGCAGCCAGGCCTGTGAAGCAGGGACCTCCCGATGTCATGAGGCCGTGGCTCCGCCCTGCTATCAGGAGTGCTGTCAAGCCTCAACCTCAGGCAGCTGCCTCCAGCTGGATGGGAACCTTCACTTCAACCAGGCATCCCCTGGGGCCACCAGAAGCCTCCTGCACTGGGCCCTGGCTGTGGCTACACTGCTGCTCCTCCACTCTGCCCTGCTTCTGTTCCTGCTCCCCTAGCTGGGCCCAGCAGAATCCAGGAGCAGCCACCAAGAAGACCCTGTAGGTCCTACAAGCCTTCAGGCCCATCTCCAGCTCTGATTCCTGTAGTTGCATCTTTAGAAAAGGGCTTTATCAAGTCCATAGCTCTGGGCTTAAGGCTCCTCACTTCTCCCCTTCTAGGGCCTAGACCTGACCACAGAACCCTCTAAGGGGGCAGGGCCTTAGCCCTAATCTCAAGGAGAGGATAGGGTTTGTCTGGAAAAATTGAAAACCTCCTGCCTGACCCCCACCCAGTGGGAGGACCCCAGAATCCTACAGGGACAGTTTCTTCATCATAAAAAACATGCAGCCCATCTTCTTTCCCCAGACCCCCACCCCCACCCCTAGGCTTTGAACACTAAGAGCAGGGCTGGAATTCGGGTTCCTCTGTTTCTCTGCAGTGACCCACCCCTTGATCCTAAGGGTCTGAGTCAATCTCCTTTCCCCTCATCCTCCACATGACTTTGAAACTGAATTCAAATAAACTTGAGCTCCATTTGTACTGTGGATGTTTCCAGGAAAAGGAATTGATTGAGAAGAAGGCGATGCCTATTTCTGGAAGGGGCTTACATATGCAAAGTTGAACTGGTCATTAGTATGGCCACTTCACTTGAGGAAAGAGGAGGAGACACTGGTCACAAATCACAACAATCACCCCTCTCCCAGCATTGAAGGCCCATTCCTTCAGTTTGGGTCAAAGCTTGGGAGAAGGTGTATTTATTAAAATAGTTCATTAAGTAATTCACTAACTCAGTAGATAACTGTGTGCCAGAAACTGCTGGTATGTTGAGGAAAAGGCATAGTCCTGTCCAAAGGGAGCTTACAGCTTGATTAAATGGCCAATAGGCCAAGAGAGAATGATCTTAGTATTCCTTATCTGAACTGGATGAGCAATTACAGGTCTCTGCAGTCTTGGACTCCTGGGCTCAAGTGATCCTCCCACCTCAGCCTCCCAAGTATCTGGGACTGCAGGCATGCACCACTACACCCAGATAAATTTTTAATAAATTTTTTGTAGAGATGGGGTCTCAAACTCCTGGCCTCAAGTGATCCTCCCTCCTTGGCCTCCCAAAGTGCTGGGATTACAGGCATGAGCCACCATGCCCAGTCCCTGCGCTGGCTCTTTTTGTCCATCTGGAATAACCTCCTTATCTTAGATGGGGACACTGAGGCCCAAGGAGAGAAAGGTCTTGGCAAAGGTCATACAGCCAGGTGGATCAAGGGAAAGACATTGCCAGTCAGAAACGATATCATACTCTTTACAAAGTATGTTCACACCCAGTAGCCTCAAACAGCCCTGTGTGGAAGGAGGGCTGGGTGGGGTGGTATAAATGGCCCAGGAGTTGCAGTCAGACTTTCAGTGGAGTCCCAGTGTTGCCACCTGCTAGCTGCAAGACTTAATGTCAAACTACTTACCCTCTCCAAGGCTCAGTTTCTCCACCTGGAAAATGGACATAATGGTTCTTCAGAGTTGGGTTCTCTCTCCATTAAGCTAGGAGAGGGTAGTTATTTTGGGGGAAGAGTTTCAGTAGAGGTCCGAGCTGTCTACCCTGAAGTGAGAAAAGCTGAAATGGAACTAAGTAGAAAATAAAAATGCATTACTTTCTTCCCCTAAGATAAAATGTGGCCATTTTCCTTCTGGGCAGGAAGCTCTGGCCCCATGACTTAGAGGGCTGGGGATGAGTGTGAGGACAATCATTAGAAAACCTTTCTGGAATAGGAGTCCAGTGTATGCCAGGACCTAAGGGGTTAACGGGGATGGAGAGGTTCCCCACCCCACGATTGACTCGGGCATGCTGGGACTTGCAGGCTGACTGACCCCCGTGTGGCGCAGGGGCTGTTGGGAAATGTAGTCATTGTCCCGGACCCTGGGGCAGTGGTGTCCCGTGTGCCCTGTGGTGACAGCTCAGGAGGTAGGTGGCAATGGCAGGGGGCTGTGGTGGGTGGGGGGTAGAGCAGGAAATCCAGGGCAGGGCTGGGCAGGAGGGAGTGGGCAAGCTGAAGGCTGGGACACCCCCACACACCCCCACCCTCGGCCTGCAGCTGATGCAATGGGCCTGCTGGGCGGGGGTTAGGGGCAAGCAGCTACAGGATGCTTCCGGTCTCCAAGGAAAGAGGAATGGGACCCTCCCTGAATGAGAGTAAGGGAAAGTTCCCCCAAACCCACACGGACACACCACTGACACCTCCTAGAGAGGCAAGAGCAGAACAAAAACTGCCCCCAAAAGAGAGGCGGAGCCCTGTCCTAAGAGCAAAGGGGCTAGGTCCCCTTCTCCAATACCACATAGGCCACTTCCAACAAGTAGGATAGACCATACTCAGGAACAACTGGATGCCCTCCCAGACAAAGGCAGTACAGCAAACTCTAGATCCCACTGGGGGCAAAGGAACCAGACCCCTATTTCTAGAAACTGTAAAAGGCCAATTCTAGGAAGGAGACAGGAGAATGAGGAGGATCAGGCCCCCCTAATACCTGTTCACACCACAAAAGCCCCTCTCTCCTGCCCCCCACCCCTCTAAGGCAGCTCCATCAACTCAAGCCTAACTTGCTGACCAAAGGGGGCTCCCGTCTCCCCTCCTGCAGGGTCTGTGCACTCAGCAGGGGCCAGCATGGACCAGTCTGTGGCGATCCAGGAGACGCTGGCTGAGGGGGAATACTGCGTCATCATATCCTTCCTGTGCTAACTGCAGCCCTGAGCCTGCCCTGGCCTTGGGAAGCGGAATGGAAGGTGTCGAGGTGTCTGTCCCCTCTCCTCCCTCTCTGAGCCATCAGGGGAGAAGGAAATCAGTATTCACTAAGTACTTACTGATTCCTGGACTCTGCCAGATGCTTTAAATATGCAGTGATCCAGCCGGGTGCGGTGGCTCAAGCCTGTAATCCCAGCACTTTGGGAGGCCGAGGCGGGTGGATCACGAGGTCAAGAGATCGAGACCATCCTGGTCAACATGGTGAAACCCCGTCTCTGCTAAAAATACAAAAAAAACATTAGCTGGGCATGGTGGCGCGTGCCTGTAATCCCAGCTACTCAGGAGGTTGAGGCAGGAGAATTGCCTGAACCCGGGAGGTGGAGGTTGCGGTGAGCCGAGATCGCGCCATTGCACTCCAGCCTGGGTAACAAGAGCGAAACTCCATCTCAAAAAAAAAAAAAAAAAAAAAAAAAATATGCAGTGATCCTCCCAACCCCCTATGAAGTTGGGGGTTTCTATCCTCATTTCATAGAGGAGGAAGGCTTAGAGAGTGACTTGCCCAAGACCACGCGGTAAATCTAGGAGCAGGGGAAGGGAGGGAAGGTGGGACAGGCTGGGTGGGGAAAGCCTGGCCTCCAGATTGTCTTCCCTTGACTTTGAGCCGCAGGCGGTGCAAGGTGTGCTGTGTGAGGGGGACAGCCGGCAGAGCCGCCTCCTGGGACTCGTGCGCCACCGCCTGGAGCACGGTGGCCAGGAACACGCGTGAGTGAGGGGCTTGGTCCCCGCCTGTCTGGGCCATGGCGGTGTTCAAGACTCCACCCTCCAGCTGAACTTCAACCATCCCTCCAGGGCCGGGTCTGAGTCTCCTAGAATAATTATCATAGTGACAATTAATATTTTTGAATACTATATTCTAAACTCTTCACACATGTACTAACTCATAATCCTCAAGATCTGAGGAATAAGTTTCTTGGGAAGAGCTAGTTTACCATACTGGCCCAGATCTTGAGCCTCGTGGTCCAACAGCTGCATGGGTTAAAACCCAGAGGGCCGGGCGCAGTGGCCCATGCCTGTAATCCCAGCACTTTGGGGGGCAGAGGCGGGTGGATCACGAGGTCAAGAGATCAAGATCATCCTGGTCAACATGGTGAAACCCCGTCTCTACTAAAAATACAAAAAATTAGCTGGGCATGGTGGCGCGTGCCTGTAATCCCAGCTACTCAGGAGGCTGAGGCAGGAGAATTGCCTGAACCCAAGAGGCGGAGGATGCAGTCAGCCGAGATCATGCCATTGCACTCCAGCCTGGGTAACAAGCGAAACTCCGTCTCAAAAAACAAAACAAAACAAAACAAAAAAAAAAACCCAGAGTTTGTTACTAACAAGCCACATGATCTATTTTTTTTTTTTTTTTTTTTTGGTTTGTTTTGAGACGGAGTCTGCTCTTCGCCCAGGCTGAGTGCGGTGGTGTGATCTTGGCTCACTGCAACCTCTGCCTCCCAGGTTCAAGCAATTCTCGTGCCTCAGCCTCTCAAGTAGCTGGGATTACAGAGATGCCCGTTACCGTGCCTGGCTCATTTCTGTATTTTTAGTAGAGCCAGGTTTTACCACATTGGCCAGGCTGGTCTTGAACTCCTGACCTCAAGTGATCCACCTGCCTCAGCCTCCCAAAGTGATAGGATTACAGGTGTGAGCCAGCGCACCTGGCCTCACATGATCTTTTTTTGGGGGGGTAGGATCTCTATCACCCAGGCTGGAATGCAGTGGTGCGCTGGTAGCTGCACCGTGGAACTCCTGGCCTCAAGCCATTCTCCCGCCTCAGCCTCCAAAGTGTTGGAATTTTAGGCATGAGTCCACGCACCTGGTGGAGCCACATCAACTTGAGCAAGTTGTACTCCTCGACTTGTCCAGATTAAAGAGTAAAGTGAGCCGGGCGCGGTGGCTCAAGCCTGTAATCCCAGCACTTTGGGAGGCCGAGGCGGGTGGATCACGAGGTCGAGAGATCGAGACCATCCTGGTCAACATGGTGAAACCCCGTCTCTACTAAAAATGCAAAAAACTAGCTGGGCGTGGTGGCGCGTGCCTGTAATCCCAGCTACTCGGGAGGCTGAGGCAGGAGAATTGCCTGAACCCAGGAGGCGGAGGTTGCGGTGAGCCGAGATCGCGCCATTGCACTCCAGCCTGGAAAGAGCGAAACTCCATCTCAAAAAAAAAAAAAAAAAAAAAAAAAAAAAAAGAGTAAAGTGAATTAGGACAGGTGCAGTGGCTCATGCTTATAATCCCAACACTTTGGGACGCTGAGGCAGGAAGAATTGCTTGAGCCTAGGAGTTCGAGACCAGCTTGGGCAACATAGCAAGACCCCATCCCCCATCTCTACAAAAAATAAGAAAATTAGCTGGGTATGATGGTGCACGCTTGCGGTCTCAGCTACTCAGGAGGCTGAGGTGGGAGGATCACATGAGCTGAGGAGTTTGAGATTACAGTGAACTGTGATTGCAGTATAGCTTGGGTGACACAGCGAGACCCTGTCTCTATAAAAAAAGGAAAAAAACCAAACACCATGGGGCACATAGAAAGTGTTCAGTAAGGCTGGGTGCAGTGGCTCACACCTGGATTCCCAGCACTTTGGGAGCCTGAGCTGGGAGGATTGCTTGACCTCAGGAGTTAAGACCAGCCTGGGCGATATAGTAAGACCCCATCTGTATTTCAAATAATTAAATAATAATAATAAAAAGAAAAAAAAGAAAGTACTCCATAAATGCCTTGTAATGCCCACATACCACATAGAAGCAGAGAGAGACCAAATAGTTGTCAAAGGACTCAGAGCTGGTAAGTGACCCTCAGGGTCTGGGAGCTGGGAGGAAGGGGTCCTTAGACATTTTCTGATCCATCACCCCAATTTTCAGAGAGAAGTGGGTAGCTAAAGTCACACTGCTCCTGTCACACACAGTGCTACAATGCGCTGTGATTAGATCAAACGTGTGTTTGTGTTTTACTAACAAAGCAGGGACTCCTGCAGATGAGAAAAGTTCTGCTTTGATGACCTCATCCACAAAACTGCAGTCTCTGATGGGCACCATGGACAGAGATGGCATGAGACATGTGCCTAGCCAGGGCACCACCGGCACAGTGTTAGGGAACAAGGAGGGAGTGTGAGCACCCCAAGGCCTCCAAGACAGGGCTGAGGGACAGCCAGTGGGCCTCCATCCTCACCTCTGCTTCCTGCCCTTAGTCTCTTCCTCTATACGCACCGGAGGATGGCCATTACCGGGGATGATGTCTCTCTGGACCAGATAGTGCCAGTCTCGCGGGATTTTACGCTGGAAGAAGGTGCCACAGGGGGCTGGGTGGTATGAATCTTCTCCTGTGGGCCCCCCAGGTCATCTTTGTCTTTGATGGGGGAGCAAGAGGGAGTAAGAATGATGCTGGGGTGCTCAATTGCTAAAGGCATTCTCATTTCCCTCCCCACAGTGTCCCCAGATGGTGAAATCTACATCCTTGGTGAGTGGGCCTCTCGGTCCGGGTACCACTTGGGCCAGGGGGTACATGATCTTCAGAGAGAAGAGTGGTGTAAAGTAAGAGCACTCCCCGGTAAACGTATTGCAGCAAGTAAGATCCTGTAGGATCTAACACTGCCCATCTCCGTGGGCTCATCTCCTATCACTCTCCTCCTTGCTGCTGCTTCTGTCGCCCCCACGCCCCAAGATATCACATGTTCTCACCCCAGAGCTCCTGCACATGCTGTCCCCTCCTCCTGCAAGCCTCACATCTCTTTTCGCCTAATCAACTCCTACTCAGCCTTCAGGGCTTCCATTCATGCATTTCTCTTCCCAGGCAGCCTTTGTGAAACCCCTGGAATTGTTTTGTATCTCCCTTCCTCTGGCTCCCTCCCTCCTTCCCTCCCTTCCTTCCTTCCTTCTCACTTTGTCACACAGGCTAGACTGCAGTGGTATGATCTTGCCTCACTGCAACCTCCGCCTCCCGGATTCCAGTGATTCTCCTGCTGTCAGACTCTCGAGTAGCTGGGACTACAGGCACGCGCCACCATGCCTGGCTAATTTTTTTGTTATATTAGTAGAGACAGGGCTTCACCATGTTGGCCAGGCTGGTCTCAAACTCCTGACCTCAGGTGATCCACCCACCTCAGCCTCCCAAAGTGATGGGATTACAGGCGTTAGCCACCACACTGGGTGAGCCCACACTCTTTTATTTTATTTTTTGAGACGGGATCTTGCTCTGTCACTCGTGCTGGAGTACAGTGGCAAAATATGACTCACTTCAGCCTTGACCTCCTGGGCTCAAGTGATCCTCCCACCTCCGCCTCCCAAGTAGCTGGGACTCCACATCTGGCTAATTATTTATAGAGATGGGGGTTTCACTGTTTTCCAAGCTGGTCTCAAACTCCTGGCTTTAAGTAATCCTCCTGCCCTGGCCTCCCAAAGTTCTGGGATCATAGGCATGAGTACGCCCTGCCTAGCCCATACTCTTTTTTTTTTTTTTTTGACGGAGTTTCGCTCTTGTTACCCAGGCTGGAATGCAATGGCGCGATCTCGGCTCACCGCAACCTCCGCCTCCTGGGTTCAGGCAATTCTCCTGCCTCAGCTTCCTGAGTAGCTGGGATTACAGGCACACGCCACCATGCCCAGCTAATATTTTGTATTTTTAGTAGAGACGGGGTTTCACCATGTTGACCAGGATGGTCTCGATCTCTTGACCTCGTGATCCGCCCACCTCGGCCTCCTAAACTGCTGGGATTATAGGCTTGAGCCACCGCGCCCGGCCTTTTTTTTTTTTTTTTAAGACGGAGTCTCTCTGTCATCCAGGCTGGAGTGCGGTGATGCAATCTCAGCTCTCTGCAACCTCCACCTCCTGGGTTCAAGTGATTCTCTTGCCTCAGCCTCCCGAGTAGCTGGAATTATTGGCATGCACCATCATACCCGGCTAATTTATATATATATATATATATATATATATATATATATATATTTTTTTTTTTTTTTTTTTTTTTTTTTTTTTTTTGAGACAGAGTTTCGCTCTTGTTACCCAGGCTGGAGTGCAATGGCGCGATCTTGGCTCACCGCAACCTCCGCCTCCTGGATTCAGGCAATTCTCCTGCCTCAGCCTCCTGAGTAACTGGGATTACAGGCACGTGCCACCATGCCCAGCTAATTTTTTGTATTTTTAGTAGAGACGGGGTTTCACCATGTCGACCAGGATGGTCTCAATCTCTTGACCTCGTGATCCACCCGCCTCGGCCTCCCAAAGTGCTGGGATTACAAGCTTGAGCCACCGCGCCCGGCCAATTTTTTTTTTTTTTTTTTTTTTTTTGAGACGGAGTTTCGCTCTTGTTACCCAGGCTGGAGTGCAATGGCGCGATCTCGGCTCACTGCAACCTCCGCCTCCTGGGTTCAGGCAATTCTCCTGCCTCAGCCTCCTGAGTAGCTGGGATTACAGGCACGCACCACCATGCCCAGCTAATTTTTTGTATTTTTAGTAGAGACGGGGTTTCACCATGTTGCCCAGGATGGTCTCGATCTCTTGACCTCGTGATCCACCCGCCTCGGCCTCCCAAAGTGCTGGGATTACAGGCTTGAGCCACCGCGCCCGGCCCAATTTTTATATTTTTAGTAGAGATGGGGTTTCACCATGATGGCCAGGCTGGTCTCAAACTCCTGACCTCAGGTGATCTGCCTGCCTCCTCCTCCACCTCTCCGCTGGGATTACAGGTGTGAGCCACCATGCCCACTAGCCCATACTCCTTTTTTTTTTGAGACAAAGTCTCACTCTGTCGCCCAGGCTGGAGTGCAGTGCCACGATGATCTTGGCTCACTGCAACCTCCACCTCCCAGGTTCAGGCAGTTCTCCTGCCTCAGCCTCCTGAGTAGCTGGGATTACAGGCGTGCGCCACCACGCCCAGCTAATATTTGTATTTTTAGTAGAGACAGGGTTTCACCATGTTGGTCAGGCTGGTCTCAAACTCCTGACCTCGTGATCCACCCACCTCGGCCTCCCAAAGTGCTGGGATTACAGGCATGAGCCACCGCGCCCAGTGCCCATACTCTTAATTGCTCTGCTAGGTTGCTTCTGTTTGTCTGTTGGTTCAGCACACATTTTTGTGTGTTTACCATGTGCCTGGTTTGGGTATATGCTATGAACAGGGGAGCCTTCTACAGTCTAGCTCCCTGAGATGGGCCCACATGTATTCTCCTCACCATGGTATTCCCTGTGCCTATCATGGTATCTGGCACAGGCAGGTAGAATGACCCATGGACATCCCCTCTTGTCTGCCTCTATGTGCTTTTCATTTAATCAGGAGGGGAACAGACTACATGTCCAGAGAACCCGTTCTCTACTGGCTCCATCTAGTACTGCGGGGGAGGCTTGTCGACTTTTCAGAGCCTTTGTCTACCTTCTCTGTAATGAGGGGATGATGATAATTTGGAACTCAGGGTACAGAGGGTTTCCTTGTCCCAGCAGCAGTCCCAAGTGAGCTGCTTAAGGGCTCCAGCCCGCGTGACAGAGCAAGATCCTAATTCTCCATTCTGAGGACTCCAGCCTTAAGATGCATCAAGCACTTAGCTCCTGGCAGCCAAGGGTTCATTGCTGGCTTCCTTTGTTCAGGCTCAGATGTGACTGTCCAGCTCGACACAGCGGAGCTTAGCCTCATATTCCAGCTACCCTTTGGTTCACAAACCAGGATGTTCCTCCACGAAGTTGCCAGGGCCTGTCCAGGTAGGTAAGACCCCAGGCTCCCTGGGATGGGGGGCGGGTGGCTGGGTATTCACCTACCCACTTCAGTTGACTTTTCACCCTTTGTGCTCATACCCCATGGTTTCTGTGTCCTTTTGAAGCTGCTGATGTAAAGCCACAGTGCCCCCAGGCTGCCAGCCAACCACAGGGTTTGCTTTTGTGTTTACAGTTTCTAGAGCTGAATGTTAACTAAGGCAGGTCCCCTTTGCCCTCCTGGCTCTGGGCAGGGTTGCACAGGGTAGGTTGTGACTGTAATGCAGAATCTCTTAAAAACTGGCAGGCTGAGCGGCTTCCAGCAGCCCATCTTCCCTCTCTCTGCCACCCACAGCCAGAACTCCCAGCTAGAACCATCTGTCATATTGGCTCTCCTGCCCTCGAACTGTGCTGGCACTCACTGCAGCTGAGAAAATGGTCTAGCTTTGGGCTTGCAGTGAAAGGTTAGTGGCCTCTCGGATAAAATTTGTTTAGAAAAGGAAGTTAGCCTGGCAGGTGGAGGAGAGTTTGTATACAGAGCTGAGGACAGAACATGCAAATTCAAGCCAACAGGTGCTGGGGCTTAAGTGTTTACCCAGCACTTTCATCTGTCTTCTTTCAAGCTAATCTCTTGTCTTTGTGGGAACGGGAGAGGGCTGGTGTTCACTGTGGTCTCACTATGCAGTCTGAGCGTCCAGGGGCTTGGCTTTATTTTGGTTGGTGTGCCAGGAAGGGAACTGGCCTTGGATACAAACCCAGGGATGAGGGAAAATGAAGCAGAAGAAACAGATAGGCCTAGTAGCTTGTATGTAATCCCAACTACTTGGGAGGCTAAGGCAGGAGGATCACTCGAGCCCAAGAGTTCAAGGCTACAGTGAGCTATGATCGCACCACTGCACCACAGCATGGGCGACAGAGTGAGACTCCTGTCTCTAATAAAAAGGCCAGGCACAGCGGCTCATGCCTGTAATCTCAGCGCTTTGGGAGGCCAAGGCAGGTGGATCACAAGGCCAAGAGATCCATACCATCCTGGCCGACATGGTAATACCCTGTCTTTACTAAAAATACAAAAATTAGCCAGGCATGGTGGCACGTGCCTGTGGTCCCAGCTACTCGAGAGGCTGAGGTGGAAGAATCACTTGAACCCAGAGGCGGAGGTTGCAGTGAGCTGAGACTGCGCCACTGCACTCCAGCCTGGTGGCAGAGCAAGACTCCATCTCAAAAATAAAATAAAATAAAATAAAATAAAATAAAATAAAAAGCCGGCGCAGTGGCTCACACCTGTAATCCTGGCAGTTTGGGAGGCCGAGGCAGGTGGATCACCTGGGTCAGGATTTTGAGACCAGCCTGACCAACATGTAGAAACCCCATCTCTACTAAAAATACAAAAATTAGCCGGACATGATGGTGCATGTCTGTAATTCCAGCTACTCAGGAGGCTGAGGAAGGAGAATTGCTTGAACCCAGGAGGTGGAGGTTTCAGTGAGCCGAGATTGCGCCATTGCACTCCACCCTGGGCAACAAAAGCGAAACTCAGTCTCAAAAAAATAAATAAAATAAGGAAGTAGAAATATGATTATAAAGCCTTGAATGCCTGGTTAAGAGCTTTATTTGCTTATTTTATTTTTTTGAGACGGAGTCTCAAGATGGCGCTATCTCAGTTCACCACAACCTCTGCCTCCCGGGTTCAAGCAATTCTCCTGCCCCAGCCTCCAGAGTAGCTGGGACTACAGGTCCCTACCAGCAAGCCCAGCTAAGTTTTTTGTTTTTTGTTTTTTGTTTTTTGAGACCGAGTTTTGCTCTTGTTACCCAGGCTGGAGTGCAATGGTGCGATCTCGGCTCACCGCAACCTCCGCCTCCTGGGTTCAGGCAATTCTCCTGCCTCAGCCTCCTGAGTAGCTGGGATTACAGGCACGTGCCACCATGCCCAGCTAATTTTTTGTATTTTTTAGTAGAGACGGGGTTTCACTATGTTGACCGGGATGGTCTCGATCTCTTGACCTCATGATCCACCCGCCTCGGCCTCCCAAAGTGCTGGGATTACAGGCTTGAGCCACCGCGCCCAGCAGTTTTTATACTTTTAGTAGAGACGGAGTTTCACCATGTTGGTCAGGCTGGTCTCAAACTCCTGACCTCAGGTGATCCACCTACCTTAGCCTCCCAAAGTCCTGGGATTACAGGCATGAGCCACTGTGCCCAGCCAAGAGGTTTAAGATTTATTAAGCAGGGGGAAATTTATCTCTACATCTTAAAATAATAAGGATAACATATTTTATGATTATTAATAGTAGTTGTAGGAGGTAAAATAGTAGAAATAACAGCAAAGAGCCTGGCCTTTGAAGTTACACAGCCCCTTGAGTTTGAAACTCATCTCTGCCAGTTCCTAGCTGTGCAACTTTGGGCAAGCTACTTCACCTCTCTGAACTTTAGTTTTTGTAAGCTTCTGTAATGTAATGAATACCTTATTCATGCGGTTGTGAGAATTAAATGAGATAACACATCTATAAGTGCCTACCACACAGCAGGAACTCAGAAAATGTTTTTCCACTCTACAAGAAGGCTCATAGCGCACATTCATTGTTGATTTAGCATGTGTTAGGGACTATTCCAAGAACTTTTCACACGTTATCTCATTTACTCTTTTTTTTTTTTGAGACTGAGTTTTGCTCTTGTTGCCCTCCTGGGCTGGAGTGCAATGGCACTGTCTCAGCTCACTGCAACCTCCACCTCCCGTGTTCAAGTGATTCTCCTGCCTCAGCCTCCCAAGTAGCTGGGACTACAGGCACGTGCCACCACGCCCAGCTAATTTTTGTATTTTTTGGTAGAGACAGGGTTTCACCATGTTGGCCAGGCTGATCTGGAACTTCTGACCTCAAGTGATCTGTCCACCTTGGCCTCCCAAAGTGCTGGGATTACAGGCATGAGCCACTGCACCTGACTGATTTTTTTTTTTTTTTTTTTTTTGAGACAGAGTTTCGCTTTGTTACCCAGGCTGGAGTGCGGTGGGTGGCACAATCTTGGCTCACTGCAATCTCTACCTCCCAGGTTCAAGCCATTATCCTGCCTCAGCTTCCCAAATAGCTGGGACTGTAGGTGCATGCCACATGCCCGGCTAATTTTTGTATTTTTAGTAGAGACAGCGTTTCACTATGTTGGCCAGGCTGCTCTTAAACTCCTCACCTTGCTGGGCGCTGTGGCTCATGCCTGTAATCCCAGCTCTTAGGGAGGCAGTGGCGGGAGGATAGCTTGAGCCCAGGAGTTTGAGACCTGCCTGGGCAATATAGTGAGACCCCGTTCTCCACAAAAAGGAAAAAACAAAAAGACACACAAAAAAAACAGGACAAAACTCCTCACCTTGTGATCTGTCCAACTCGGCTCTCAAAGTACTGGGATTACAGGCATGAGCCATTGTGCCCTGCCAGATTTTTTTTTTTTTTTTTTTTTTTTGAGTCAGAGTCTTGCACTGTTGCCCAGGCTGGAGTGCAATGGCACAATCTTGGCTCATGCAACCTCTGCCTCGTGGGTTCAAGTGATTCTCTTGCCTCAGTCTCCAGAGTAGCTGGGATTATAGGCACCCACCACCATACCCAGCTAATTTTTTGTATTTTTAGTAGAGATGGGGTTTCACTATGTTGTCCAGGCTGGTCTCAAACTCCTGACCTTGTGATTTGCCCACCTCGGCCTCCCAAAGTGCTGGGATTACAGGCGTGAACCACCATGCCCAGCCCAATTTTTGTATTTTTAGTAGAGACAGGGTTTTACCACATTGGCCAGGCTGGTCTTGAACTCCTGACCTCAGGTGACCTGCCCACCTCATCTTTCGAAAGTGCTAGGATTACAGGCATGACTCATCATGCTGGCCTCATTTACCCTTTACCATGATCTTATCAGGCAAGTATTATCAATGTGTCCATTTCACAAATGAGGAAACTGAGGCTCAGAGAGGGTAAGAGCTTTGCCTGAGTACCTAGCTGGTAAATGATAGAGCCAAGATTAGGCAGGATTAAATAGTTCTACTCCAGGCTGGGTATGGTAGTTCACAGCTGTAATCCCAGCAGTTTGGGAGGTCCGAGACAGGTGGATCACTTGAGGTCGGAGGTTCGAGACCAGACTAGCCAAAATATAGTGAAATCCTCTCTCTACTAAAAATACAAAATTAGCTGGGCGTGGTGGTGCATGCCTGTAGTCCCCATTAGTTGAGAAGCTGAGGCAGGAGAATCCCTTGCACCCAGGAGGCAGAGGTTGTGGTGAGCCAAGATCATGCCACTGTTCGCCAGCCTGGGTGACAGAGCAAGACTCTATCTCTCTTTTTTTTTTTGAGATGGAGTTTCACTCTTGTTGCCTAGGCTGGAGTGCAATGGCATGATCTTGGCTCACCGCAACCTCCAGCTCCCGGGTTCAAGCAATTCTTCTGCCTCAGCCTTCCAAGTAGTTGGGGCTACAGGCATGTGCCACCGCACCCAGCTAATTTGTGTATTTTTAGTAGAGATGGGGTTTCACCATGTTGGTCAGGGTGGTCTCGATCTCCTCATCTTGTGATTCGCCCACCTTGGCCTCCTAAAGTGCTGGGATTACAGGCATGAGCCACTGAGCCCAGCCTAGACTCTCTCTCTCTTTTTTTTTTTTTTTTTTTGAGACGGAGTTTTGCTCTTGTTACCCAGGCTGGAGTGCAATGGCGCGATCTCGGCTCACCGCAACCTCCGCCTCCTGGGTTCAGGCAATTCTCCTGCCTCAGCCTCCTGAGTAGCTGGGATTACAGGCACGCGCCACCATGCCCAGCTAATTTTTTGTATTTTTAGTAGAGACGGGGTTTCACCATGTTGACCAGGATGGTCTTGATCTCTTGACCTCGTGATCCACCCGCCTCGGCCTCCCAAAGTGCTGGGATTACAGGCTTGAGCCACCGCGCCCGGCCTCTCTCTCTTTTTTTTTAAGAGATGTGGTCTTGCTATGTCACCCAGGCTGGAGTGCAGTGGCTATTCACAAGTGCGATCCCACTACTGATCAGCATGGGAGTTTTGACCTGCTCCGTTTCCAACCTGGGCCGATTCACCCCTCCTTAGGCAACCTGGTGGTCCCCTGCTCCTGGGAGGTCACCATATTGATGCTGAACTTAGTGCAGACACCCGACTGGCATAATGCACTACAGCCCAGAACTCCTGGACTCAAGAGATCCTCCAGCCTCAGCCTCCCGAGTAGCTGGGACTACAGGCACTCACCCCTCGAGACTCCATCTCTTAAAAAAAAAAGTTCCACTCCAGAGCCTGAGCTCCTGAGTGTTTTGCTATAGTGCTTCCTTAGCTCATGGCACCCTCTCCCCTATAAACAGCTCAGAAAGGCTTCATATAGGAGGTGATATTTAAGCTTAGGCTAGAAAGATGAAGTTTTTCCCCAGGCAGGCAACAAGGAGGAAAAGGACATGGCAGTTGGAGGGAAGAGCAGGACCTTTGATGGGGCAAGGGCAGGGTGTGGAGACAGTTTAGCCAGGAGAGGTCAGCAGAGGACATCTCATGAAGAGTCTTAGCTACCCAGCAAAGAGCTTGGACTTTGCCCTATATATTAGAGAGAGCCATTAAGGAATTTTAAGCTGGAGAGTGATTAAGGCAAGATTTGCAAGTTGGAAAAGTTCCTCAGGCAACTGGTATAGAAAAAGCCTAGAGCAGGGAGATAGGAATGTTTTGCAATGGCTGAGGAATGGAAAGTGAGTCTGGAGCCTGGGAGAGCCCTGGTGATAAGAATGGGGAAGGAGGGATGGACTTGTAAGATACAGAGGTCAAAGAGATGAGAATGAAGGCACCATGGGGGCAGTGAGTTTGGGTCACATTCACAACTTCATCTGCAGAGATCAGAACAGTGCCTGGCACACAGCAGGCCCTTAATAAGTATTTGTTGAATGCATGAACAGAGATTGGTAGCTGGCTATGAGAATGAAGGAGTCAAGGATGACTTCTTTTTTTGTGTGTGAGACGGAGTCTCTCTCTTTGTTGCCCAGGCTGGAGTCCAGTGGGGCGATCTCAGCTCACTGCAACCTCCGCCTCCCGGGTTCAAGTGATTTTCCTGCCTCAGCCTCCCCAGCAGCTGGGACTATAGGCACGTGCTACCACACACAGCCAATTTTTTTTTTTTTTTTTTTTTTTTTTAGTAGAGACGGGGTTTCACCATGTTGGTCAGGCTACTCTTGAACTCCTGACCTCGCGATCTGCCTGCCTCGGCCTCCCAAAGTGCTAGGATTACAGGCGTGAGCCACTGTGCCTGGCCAAGGATGACTTCTTTCTTTTAGGATTGAGTGTATGTCTTGCAGTCCCCTTACCTGCTCATCTTTCTGGGGTCCACAACACACCTGGGGTAACCAGCAGAGAAACTCTGTACCAACCAACTTCCCCGAGTGCTTGTCATGATGGAGATTTCCTCAGGGAGGAACCTGGGTGAGACGGAGTCTAGCTCTGTCACGAAGGTTGGAGTGTGGTGACACAATCTTGGCTCATTATAACCTCCACCTACCAGGTAAAAATGATTCTCTTGCCTCAGCCTCCCAAGTAGCTGGGATTACAGGCACCTGCCCCCATGCCCAGCTAATTTTTGTATTTTTACTTATTTTTATTTTTGGGGGGACAGTCTTACTATGTCACCCAGGCTGGAATGCAATGGCATGATCTCAACCAACTGCAACCTCCGCCTCCTGGGTTCAAGCAATTCTCCAGCCTCAGCCTTTTCAGTAGTTGGGATTATAGGTGCACACCACCACGCTTGGCTAATTTTTTGTATTTTTAGTAGAGATGGGGTTTCACTATGTTGTCCAGGCTGGTCTCGAACTGCTGACCTCGTGATCCACCCACCCCAGCCTCCCAAAGTGTTGGGATTACAGGCGTGAGCCATCACAACTGGTCTTTTTGTATTTTTAGTAGAGACAGGGTTTCACTATGTTGGCCAGGCTGGTCTCAAACTCCTGACCTCAGCCTCAGCCTCCCAAAGTGTTGGGATTATAGGTGTGAGCCACTGTGCCCAGCCACTACCATATTTTATTTTTTCAGACCTTGGCTTTCTTACTTATACAATGGAAATATAAACTTGCCTTCTCTAATAATCCAAGAGTTTTGTGAGGATCAGATGAGGCCAAATATGGGTTAGTAGTATGTAAATGGTGAAGATAACTTAAAAGCTGTGTCTGACAGTGCCATAGTTAGGACTGGAACTCATGTCTTCTCATGTGTCATGTCCTTGCACATCCAATTCAGTTTGGTCAGGTTCATGCAGTTCCACACACAGAGCAGGCAGGATAGCAGAAGGGTTAAGAACAATTGTTCCAGAGTCAGATAGTTTGAGTCAGAGACAGAGGTGACTCAAGAATTTCTAGGAAGGAGAGTGGCAGTCTGGTGAAGGGAGAAATAGAGGATTTGTCTTGATATATTTCATAGTAAACACACTGCTTTGCTTAGAGCGTGCGGTTTCTCTGGAGTGGGCTGCCAACTGCTGGTGGAGTTTATGGGTAGTGAAATCCTCCAACCCTCTGGCAACTGTTTGAATCCTACACTCTGCCAGTCACTCTGTGACCTTAGACTTAACCTCTCTGAACTCGGCTTCCTTGTATATAAAATTGGGATGATAGGCTGGGTGCGGTGGCTCATGCCTGTAATCCCAACACTTTGGGAGGCTGAAGCTGGCAGATCACTTGAGGTCACGAGTTCGAGACCAGCCTGATCAATATGGTGAAACCCCCGACTCTACTAAAAATGCAAAAGTTAGCCAGGTGTGGTGGCAAGTGCCTGTAATCCCAGTTACTCGGGAGGCTGAGGCAGGAGAATCGCTTGAACCTGGGAGGTGGAGGTTGCAGCGAGCTGAGATCACGCCACTGCATTCCAGCCTAGGGGACACAGCCAGACCCCATCTCAAAAAAAAAAAAAAGAAAAGAAAAAGGATAATAGTTTTCTCCCTCATGAAGTGTGTTACGAGGAGTAGGAAGATAATATTTATACGAAGCACAGACCTTGGCACATAGTTACCGTGAGGTTCAATGGCGGAGTCTCTGCCTTGGAATAGTACTTTTGTGTTCACAATTATTCTTGCATTTTAACCTCAGACCCTTCTGTGCGCAAGAGAAACAGGCCAGGAGGGTCTCGGGATAATACAATCATTCAGAGCAGGCTCATTAAGCCCATGGCTCAGTCTGCCCTCCTTGTTCCTGCACAGGCTTCGATTCTGCGACCCGGGATCCTGAATTCCTGTGGCTGTCTCGGTACAGGTGCGCAGAGCCGGAACCGGAGCTGCCGACGCCGCTCGATTGTAACTCGGCCCCAGGTACCTGGCCAGGGTGCGCGACAATTGGCGGAGGCAGGTATCCGTCTCGAAAGGAGCGGTGGGGATTGGAGGAGGCCTGGCTTGAGGAGGCGGGCTCTATTTTGTTTTGGGGCGGAGCGATGAAGAAGACAGGCTTTCGATTGGTGGAGGGGCACACGGGGGCGGGTTCGTCTTGGGGGTGGAGTGCGCGGGGCGGGCGGCGGGATGAAGAGCTTGAGGAGGCAGATAGGGAAATGTCTGCCGCCGTCGGCTCTCGGGAGCGCAACTCTGCAGGTCCGGCGGGCGGCGGGAAACTGGGCTGGGGAGTTGGGCCGGGGGCGGCGGTGGGCCCGGCCCATGGGTGGGCAGGGTCTGCGGTTTGGCCGGTGGACGCACGGGGCGAACACCAAAGTCTTGGTGGCCCTCCGGAGGCTGGGACACTGGGGCAGAAGTTCTGTTACGTTCTTCTCAGCCGGGTGTGACGAGAGCAGGAGGGTGGGAATGGGATACTCGGGAATCCGGAGGCTGGGGTTTTAGTAAAGCTCCGTTTCGAGCACGCTGTGTGGCCTCGGGCCACTCGCTGCCCCTCTCTGGACCTGTTTCGCCATCTGAGCTTGCTCTTCAATCCTGACCTTCCGAGTTTGTCGCGTGGGGGGTGCACTCCCTATGACAGAGCCTTCCTTTGGGTGAGGTGTGGTATATGTTGGGGTCCTGTCAGTCCTCAGACCCTGTGATGATAGTGTCAGTCCTCAGACCCTGTGATGATAGTGCAGTGCACAGGGCTTGAGTCTTGGGGAGCCCCGTCTACTCTGGGACTGGAGGCCGGGATGAGGTTACAGGTTATAAAGGGACTGGGTTTTTTCCCACCGAGCTGTTGATGAATAATGAGCAGCACAGAAGGCCAGAGGCTCAGGGATGAAATTTGGCTGAGTCCGCTCTTTTGTCCAGCTCCAGGGTTTTCTGCAAGGGCTCCAGGTGCTTTTTTCCCCTGGGTGTGTCCTTGAGGCTCCATTTATGTGCAAGCTTTGCATGACCCTTATTACCTATTTGTACTTCTTTTCTCAGTCATTTGCCAGCAGTGAATAGGCTGTCAAGTAGATGTGTAAAGTGTGGGCCAGCACTCCACTTGCTCTTACAAGGCTTGGAAACTGTGAGAGGCAGGGAGGAGTGGCATGTTGCACAAGAGTTTGTAAAATGAGAGGAAATGAGGTGGGCAGAAGACTTCCTCAGTGCTTACGTTTCTCCTTCATTGCAGCCACCACAAGGTGCGATTGAAGAGCCTGATGGTGCTGATAGTTTGCGTCTTCCTTGGGCTTATCTCAGAGTTCACTATCGCTTGAGTTTCCATGACATTCTGGGCTATAGTTCGGGGACGGGTGAGAGTTTAAGAGCACTTCATCTCTTTGCCCCTTCACAAGAGACTGCCAGAATCCAGAGAGTTGACGGAGGACAAGCCCAATGGCAGCAGAAAGAGGTGGGTGCTGAGTTCTCAGCCAGTACACCAGAGCTAGGCCAGGCAGGCACTTCACTGCCTTAGTCTTCAACTCTGAAGCCAGTTAGCTTCTCCTGGGTGAGAAATGTGCAGGGATCTCAAGCTTTCATTTCCTTTCCGAGCCACATGCTGGAGACGATTTATTGATGTTAAGGTTTTGGTTTTATTTTCTTTTATAATAATTTGAAAGCCGAGTGTGGTGGCGCGTATCTATAAGTCCCAGCTCCTTGAGAGGCTGAGGTGGGAGGCTTGAGCCCAGGAGTGTGAGGGTGATGTGCACCATGATTGATCCTGTGAATTAGCTATTGCACTCCAGCCTAGGCAACATAGTGAGATTGTCTCTAAAATAAATAAATAAATAGTTTAAACAATTTTGTTGGCTGGGTGTGGTGGCTCATTCCTGTACTCCCAGCACTGTGGGAAGCAGAGGCGGGCGGGCCACCTGTGGTCAGGAGTTTGAGACTAGCCTGGCCAACATGGCGAAATCCCATCTCTACTAAAAATACAAAAATTATGTGGGTGTCATGTCGCATGCCTGTAATCCCAGGTACTCGGGAGGCTGAGGTAAGAGAATCGCTTGAACCTGGGAGGCAGAGGTTGCAGTGAGCTGAGATTGCGTCACTGGACTCTATCCTGGGAGACAGAGCGTGACTCCATCTCAAAAAAAATTTTTGTCTTATCATAATACCTACAGTAAGTGGGGTTACACTATTAATTGCTAAGTTGCTCCTGCTAAAATTGCTAAAAAATGGCATCAAGCCTCTCAGTTCTATTTGGGTTATCTCTGTTTTCAGAGTTATTCTGACCTCAGAGGAAAGTTACATCTTCTACAACAGGTAGGAAAAACCCTTTGGGCTGCCTCTGGATGTCGATACAGGCCCCAAGGGAAACAGAGTAGTAGATTTGTTTTTTCTTATATGCATATGATCAAAATACTCAATTCTTGATAGCCTAGAAAACCCAAGGCAAAATGTTGCTTAAAAATGCTGTTTTTGGCCAGGCGCAGTGGCTCACACCTGTAATCCCAGCACTTTGGGAGGCGGAGGCAGGTGGATCATGAAGTCAGGAGTTTGAGACCAGCCTGGCCAATGTGGCAAAACCCTGTCTCAACTAAAAATACAAAACTTAGCCCAGGTTTGGTGGCTCATGCCTGTAATCCCAGCGCTTTGGGAGGCCGAGGCAGGCGGATCATGAGGTCAAGAGATCAAGACCATCCTGGCTAACACAGTGAATCCCCTTCTCTACTAAAAATACAAAAAAATTAGCTGGGCGTGGTGGTGGGAGCCTGTAGTCCTAGCTGCTTGGGAGGCTGTGACAGGAGAATTGTTTGAACCCGGGAAGCAGAGGTTGCAGTGAGCCAAGATCGTGCCATTGCACTCCAGCCTGGGTGACAAGAGCAAGACTACGTCTCAGAAAAAAACAAACAAACAAACAAACAAAAAAACCCATATATATATATATATATATATATATATATATATGCTGTTTTTGATACACAATAGGAGAAACAAGGCTCCCCCCCAAGAGCTGGCAGTCTGATGGAGAGGGGTCTGATAATACATAGATAGAGGTAAGAGAGTATAGGGTTGGCCCAGCAGGACAGTGTTCCTTGTAGGGAGAGCTTGGTAGGGATTATATTAGAAGAATGAAATGAAGCTAGTTTCAGACTGGGATCCATGTCTTCAGGTTCAGATCGGTATCTAGGAGCTAAGTTGTGGTGTTGAGGTAATGCTTCTGATTGAGTGGCAGCCTGTTCATGTGATTCTCTTGGCCTCTTCAACTACTTCAAGTGCCAATTGTCAAGGCCAGCTTGCAGTGACATTAGATTGGTAGTTGGATTAGTAGGCATCTTTCTGCTCCTTCACTTATTTAAATGCTCTTAGTATCTTTTTCTTTTTTTCTTCCTAACCACTAGATGACCAGGGATGCTGTTAATTTCCTTGTGCAGCTTTTCCTTTCCTTAAAAAGAGTGAAGTCCGATTTGGGAGAAATGCCTCATTATTTCCATCTAGCAACTGAAGTTGCTTTTATCCAGAAAACCCCATTGAGGATCCTGGCTGCACAGTGCCCAGTACTGAGCCAAGTCAGTCTGTCAAATGTTCACCTGCATTACATCCCTGGTACACGCAAAGGCCTGGAGCTGTGTTCTGGAGGATTTTGAAATACGTGCTAGAAAGGAAATGGCTACTCAGAAGTCCCACAGGGCCATTCTGGGCTATTTTAACAAAGCGGTAATAGCAAATAAATTTTGGCCTTTTGAAGTGGTTTTTTTAATCCACTGGTTGATTAGAAATGAGTCAGCTTGGGCCAGGCGAGGTGGCTCACACCTGTAATCCCAGCACTTTGGGAGGCTGAGGTGGGTGAATCACAAGGTCAGGAGTTCAAGACCTGGCCAAGATGGTGAAACCCGTCTCTACTAAAAATACAAAAATTAGCTGGGTGTGGTGGCACATGCTTGTAATCCCAGCTACTCGGGAGGCTGAGGCAGAGAATTGTTTGAACCTGGGAGGCGGAGGTTGCAGTAAGCAGAGATCACACCACTGCACTCCAGCCTGGGCAATAGAGTGAGACTCCGTCAAAAAAAAAAAAAAAAAAAAAGAATGCCGGGCGTGGTGGCTCATGCCTGTAATCCTAGCACTTTGGGAGGCCGAGGTGGGTGGATCACCTGAGGTCAGGAGTTCAAGGCTAGCCTGTCCATCATGGTGAAACCGCATCTTAAAAAAAAAGAAAAAGAAAAAAAAGAAATGAGTCAGCTTTGTAGTAACTCAAATTTAAAGGAGAAGATGTGTTATTTTTTCTCTAGACCCAGGAAACAAAACATTAAAGTCTGTCTGGCCAGTGAAAGGAAATGAATGCTATTTATATCTCAGGGTAACATAAAGGGTAACCTAGATTACCAGAGTAGAAGCCAGAAAGCATGTTAGCAAAATAGCCCTGGGTTGGTTTTCCCTCTCACTCTCTGTTTCATCTTACTTTGTCAGTACTAATAGGTAAAACTTGTGTGACCAACATATCCTTTTATCATGGGGAAAACAAATTTGCTTTTGTTTATCTTAGAGTACAAATATCACCCATCATTTCCACCTTTGTGGGAAGGTCTGCAGGCTCCTCAGTAAATTATTTTAGGTCACCTTGTTTCCTGAAACAAAAGAGAACTGTATTCGTTTTTCTTCTTCCTTTTGTTGCTCCCCTCTCCGTTTTCCTTCTTGGTGCCATTTAACCCTGTTTTTTGTTTCTAGCACAGGAGAACCCACTAAAGAGTCTTTTTTTCTTCTGAAAACAGTTTGTTTTGGAATTCTACAGTGATTGTTGAGAGCAAGTGAGGTGACCCACAAACACTCAGAAGTGGAGCTTTGAACAAAAAAATCCTCAGGGAAGGGACGGTTCAGGAAGAGGAAGGCATCAATATTTATTAGAGGAAAGATGCTGTGCTGTCGGAGGATAGATGCTAGCTAACATGCATGTTTTTCTTTGCTACTTAAAATGTACTGTTTGCCCAGCACAGTGGTGTGCACCTGTAGTCCCAGCTACCCAGGAGGCTGAGGCGGGAGGCTGAGGTGGGAGTCTTGCTTGAGGAGTTCCAGACCAGCCTGGGCAACAAAGTGATATCTCTATATTTAAATTAATGACTTAATTAAATAAATTATGCTCTAACAGTTTTGTTGTTGGTGATCCATACATGTACTGAAGCTAGAAAATGTGAATGAGAAGAGGCTTTCTTTCTTGGAATGCCGATGGTGAGAATTTAAACAAAGTGGGTGTCAAGTAGTCTGGACATTTTTCTTTTCATCATTGTTCCTTG